TCTTCCTTGGCTTTACCTTTTTTCTGTCTCTTCTAGATTGCTTTCCTACTTTATGGACATTCTTTACATGCTGGTTTAAATCATTGAGTTCTGCCAAAGCTTTCCTACTTCATCGAGATCTTGCCCAACCAAGAGGCCCAGCAACAATTGCTGAAGCAGCACACCAGCCCTGGGTCCCTGCCTTTTAACACCTCTAGCCTACATTGGCTCCCAAACTCATTATGTATCCCAGACTGGCCTCAACTCATTATCATTCTTTACCAGCCTCTCATGCTGGGATTACAGAAAGAGCTCATGCTTTATAAACATTAAGGTTAGAAAATGGCTAGGGACTGGATACAGAGAGAGCAGGAATGTGGGACTGATCTATACTAATAATTGGGTCATTTTGAAACTCAGTATTAAGTTGTGAGGTTGAATGTATATAGTTGGGATACATATACTTCCATTTTTCTATTGTTTAGATGGGAAAAGGAGATATTAAGAGTGATAAATAGTAATGTCATTCAAAAGTTAGAAATACAATTCTAATATCCCAAACTTTTCAAAAATGAAAATCAGATCTACTTATTAGACAATGCTAGTTTAAAGTCTATTAAAAAAATTACTGGTGACATAGTGTTTATGATGTAATTCTCTGTGATGCTGTAATTATGATGTAATTTTCTTGGTTGTCAATGTGACTACATCCTGGAGTTAACTAAAACCCCAAAATAGAAGGCATACCTCTGAGAGATTTCTGCTTAATTTGAAGTGAGAATATCTACTTCTTTTTTTATTAATTTATTTTATTTTATATAACAAAGTCCAATTAAATGAAAAAAAAACATTTATACACAATATTTGGGAATTTGGGCGTTGTTCTTTCCAAACTACTTCCTGCTGGTGAGAAAATCTACTTCTAATCCAGATCTTGAGGCAGGAAGACACACTTTTAATATTGATCTTATCTAGCCATACCTTCTATAGGAAGTTTTTTTTTTTTTTGCTCTTTGCCTTGCTAGCAAATCCATTCCTTTACTGGCATTAGAGCCTACTTCTTTGGGATTCCAGCATTTATTGAAGATCAGCTGAGACATCCAGCCTCAAGACTCAGCAACTACTGGATTCTTGGAGTTTCTATTCACAGCCAGTCATTGTTGGACCAACTGGACCACAGCCTGAAAGTCAGTCATATATATATGCATGCATGTATGTATATGTGTGTATATAGAGACAGAGAGAGATTCATTCTATAAGTTCTGCTACTCTAGAGAACACTGATTATTATCTGTGTTAATCTGATATAATGATGACTATGACTATGAGGATTCAAAATTCTTTAGTATTGTGCAAATCATTTTATAAGATTGTACCAGCTATGTATTCCACAGTTTGAAAATCTCGGTCCATGAAACAGAACTCTGAATCTGGAATGTGAATTTTCAGCATGGTAGTCTAGGGACTGAAAGAGCATGCAAGATGTTCTAAAAACAGAGTGCCTCTTCAAAGATACACAATAATCATTAAACTATATATATTTATAAGGAATAGAATTTTTGCTTAATAGCTCACCAGAGATAACAAAGACAATAAAGTATGGAGAGAAACATATATGTGAACATAACAAGCCCATATGTCTTAAGAAATAACACATTCTAGTATCTTTGAAGGAAACAGCTGTTGTAAGGATAATTTCCTTTTGCCCTTAGTGTGCCATGGCTCAGAATGCTCTAGATGTAGAATGTGTTTCTTTCTCAGTTAAGGCTGTTGGCAACTGAGTCTGATAGCACAAGCCTATGATCCCAACACCAATGAAAGGGAAGCAAGAGGAGGACTTCCAGCCAAGGTCATTCTTGGCCACAGAGTAAGGCAGCCAAGGTCATTCTTGGCCACAGAGTAAGGTTGAGGCCAACTAGGTACCCATGAGAAATTGTTGAAACCAAGAAATAACAGCAAAAGGATTTTACAGGGAAGGAAATGCAGTTAGTTTTCTCATTCCTAAACAGAAGAGAAACAGCACGTGTTGAATGTGTGATAGCCAACTTAGGTGTTTTTATGGGGTATTTGTCTGTGTTGTTTCCTAACAGAAACTGGGACTTGTATAGACCATATTCCTTCCCAGACTTACCAGTGTAATGAGATGTTTGATATGCAGAAGATGCCTACAGGAGAGAATTGGAGCACGCTCACACCTCATCAACTCTTTGCTATCTGTGTCAGAAGCTTCAGTCTGTTTACTTGGCAGTGTGCTTTATGGAACCTTCCTTTTCATGGTAATTGTGTTTGTTTTTTCAGAAATCAGTGATGTTTAGTGGTGTGGCTTTGACTTCTCTCAGGAAGAGTAGAAATGCTTGGACTCTATTCAAAGGGATTTGTACTGAGATGTGCTGTTTGGAAAACTATAATAACTTGGTGTCAGTTGGTAAGAATTTCTGCCCCTTGTATCTGATGACTTAATTAGAAAATATTATTTCATGTGTATGAGTGTTTTGCCTGTGGTGCCTGTAGAGGCCAGAAGAAGGTGTCAGATCCCCAGGGATAGAAGGTTGTGAATCACCAGGTAGGTATTGAGAATTGAACCTGGGTCCTGTGGAAGAGCAGCCAGTGCTCTTAACCACAGAGCCATCTCTTTAAATTTCTGAATTTTAAGTTATTTATCAGTGTTATGTGGGCTTAGTATCTGTCTTATGCCTGCAATTTCAGTACTCCAGAGGTTGAGACAGGAAGATTACAAGCTTCAGGCTACCCTGGACTAGGTAATAAGATGAGAAAAAGAATAGGGACAGCCTGGCTCAGATTTTAGGACCCGCAGTGACCAATCTATGGTTCTTACATCATAACTCTCAGAATCCCAACCCAAACAGCAAGCAGTATGAAATAGTCCAAAATGCTGCTTTAGGTTTTCACTTTCATATGGCATTTTCAGGATGTTAAGTCTCACTTGAGTAGAACAGAAGACTCTGTGTTTCATTCTGTCTCCGAGTTGTCAGTTGTGAATACTTTATTTGTTTTTAGTTTTGGCTATACCAATTCTTTCATCATTCTCACATTCATTTTTGAGCTAAATTAACAGAAATAAAATTTAATTTTTTTTTCAGATAGGGTCTTACTATGTAGCTCTGAGTGGCCTCGAGCTTGCAAGGTTGACCAGGATGGCCTCAGACTCAGGATTCACCTGCCTCTGCCTCCTGAGTGTTGGCATCAAAGGGATGTGCCGCTATGCACCACCATGTCTGACCAAAATTCTTTTTTTATTAAGATTTTTTTAAAAAGTTTACTCTTGCTGGATGTGTTGCACATGCCGTTAGTCCTAGTACTCCAGAGACAAAAGCACATGGATCTCTGTGAGTTCCAAGGCTAGCTTGGTCTACAAAGCAAATTCCAGAACAGCCTGTACTGTTACACAGAGAAACTTGGTCTAAAAAACCCAAAGAACTAAAACTATTTTTATGTATGTCTTTGTACCAAATGCATTCACTGTCTGCAGAGGCTAGAAGAGGGCATCAGATTTTCTGGAACTGTAATCACATACAATTGTTGGCTTTTATGTAGGTGTTGGGAATTGAACCTAGGCACTATGGAAGAGTGGTATTGAGTCATCTTTCTACCCCTCTACCCCAGGCAGGATTCTTATTGTACGGAAACAATAAGTTGGTAATTGGAGATGAGAGCTTATTTAAATAGAATTTCCTACAGAGAAGTCTAATGAGATGAAATAGGCTATAGAGTTAACTGTAAATTGGGAAAGGTCTTGGGATGCTAGCAAGTGTGATATATAATGATCAAACTAAGAAGTTTCAGTTACAATGGAGAACTTTGTCAATATCATAGAACCATGAGTTTGGTTTTTATTCTAATTTAAAAGGCACCCAAAATTTAAACATGGATAACGAATCATAATCTAAATTTGAATCAGTTAATGGAAAATATAAAAATTGTGATCTCCAGATTCTTTATCTGATTTACTAGATTTGGCTAATCTGGTGAATTTTGTATAGCTTTAATTTTAACAACTATTGAACATGATTTTTATTCACACCAAATTTTGATAAGCATTGATTTAAAAAAATCAGAGTTAGAATCTATTAGGCAGAGATTTGTGCCATTTTAAGCATGTCATTTTAAGCATGGCAACTCATAGAGAAATGCTCAGTGAGTAGACCATTCATATCCAAGGGTCAGTATGCATTTCTCAGGAAAACAGCATCAAGAATCATTTAAAAGACTTTTTTATTTTTTTTTTATTTTTGAGACAGGTTTTCTCTGTGTAGCCCCAGCTGTCCTGTAACTAACTCTGTAGACCAGGCTGGCCTCGAACTCACAGCAATCCACCTGCCTCTGCCTCCCGGGTGCTGGCATTGAAGGCTTGCACCACCACTTCCTTTCTTGAAAACTTTCTTAATCTCATTCTTTTAACTCTCAGGTGAGGTTTCATTATTCTCTGGTCCCAGGTACCCATTATACATTTTAATATAATGAGTCATTCTAAGCTAATGTGTGTGTATATACATGTATACTCACCATCATCATCATCATAATTACAGCAAGTGTCATCATGCCTGATGCCTAAACTTTTTTGTTGTTGTTTCTGAAGACAAGTTTTCTCTGTGTCATACCGGCTGTCCTGTAACTCACTCTGTAGACCAGGCTGGCCTCTAAGTCACAGGGATCTGCCTGCCTCTGCCTCCTGAGTGCTGGGATTCAAGGTGTGCATACTATCACCCAGCAAAAGCTATTTTCTAAAATTCTGGATAACATCATCAAAATCACTTTAGTAGTTTTTTGGCTTTGGGGGCATGTATAGCATAACATAGAATGGAAAATCTATTACTTGAATGAAATTATTCATGCAATAAACTTTGCTGTGGAAGGTAGATATTGATATGGGTGGGGTGTAGTAAGCAATATTTGGAGAATACTGTTATATACTTGTTTCTTCTTACAGATATGATTTTCTATTTTCTGATTTTTAGTTATATTTCTCTAAAATTATTTGCTGTTCTCTTATCTTTCAAACTTGCCTTCTAGGTGTTTCAATAAGGACTTATCTTCAAAAGAGCACATTAAGGAATCAGAATGACCTCAGTGGGAAAGGAGTGACAGGCTCAAGAACTGTGCACCCAAGACTAATTTTAGAAGATATTTGGGAGTCAAAGACAGATTAGAGAAGGAAGAAGAAAATCAGAATATTACAGGCAAGAGATGATAACATATGACAAAATGTCCATTTTCAGCCCACATACTTATTTATCTCAGCATCCAAGAGGTCTTTCTATAGAGAAACCATATAAATGTGAGGAATGTGGGAAAGCCTTCAGACGAGCCTCACACCTAACTCAGCATCAGAGTGTTCATTCTGGTGAGAAGCCCTATGAATGTAAGCAGTGCGGGAAAGCCTTTAGTCGGGATTCTCAGCTAAGTGTTCACCAAAGACTTCACACCGGTGAGAAGCCCTATGCGTGCAAGGAATGTGGAAAGGCTTTTACTCAAAGCTCCCAGCTTATTTTACACCATAGGATTCATACTGGTGAGAAACCATATAAGTGTGAAGAATGTGGGAAAACCTTCATTCGAAGCTCACAACTCAGCCGACATCAAAAAGTCCACACTGGTGAGAAACCTTTTGAATGTAAAGAATGTGGGAAGGCCTTCACCCAGAATTCACAGCTTACTCTGCACCGGAGGCTCCATACTGGAGAGAAGCTCTATGCCTGTAAAGAGTGTGGGAGGGTCTTTACTCAGCTTTCACAGCTTCTTCTCCACAGAAGAATTCACACCGGCGAGAAACCCTATGCATGTAAAGAATGTGGGAAGGCTTTTATTTGTGGCTCTCAGCTTTCACAGCATCAGAAAATTCATAATGGAGAAAAGCCGTATGAATGTAAGGAATGTGGAAAGGCTTTTATTCGAGGCTCACTACTTATGCAACATCAAAGAATTCACACTGGTGAAAAACCCTACAAATGTGATGAATGTGGAAAGGCTTTTATCCGTGGTTCCCAACTCACTCAGCATCAGAGGATCCATACTAATGAAAAGCCTTATGAATGTAAAGAATGTGGAAAGACCTTTAGTCACGGCTCACAACTTACTCAACACCAGAGAATTCATACTGGAGAGAAACCCTATCAGTGTAAAGAGTGTGGGAAAGCCTTCAATCGGGGATCACTCCTTACCCGACATCAGAGGGTTCACACTGGTGACAAACCCTTTGAATGTAAAGAGTGTGGAAAACATTTTAGTCGGGGCTCAGAACTTACTCAGCATGAGAGAATCCACACAGGTGAGAAACCCTATGAGTGTAAGGAGTGTGGCAAATCTTTTATCCGTGGCTCACAGCTTACTCAACATCAGAGAATCCATACTGGTGAAAAACCATATGAATGTAAGGAGTGCAGAATGGCCTTCACTCAGAGCTCACATCTTTCTCAACATCAGAGACTTCATACTGGTGAGAAACCCTATGTGTGTAGTGAATGTGGCAAAGCTTTCGCTCGTGGATTGCTACTTATACAACATCAGAGAATTCATACTGGTGAGAAACCATATCAGTGTAGGGAATGTGGGAAGGCCTTCATTCGTGGTTCACAGCTCACTCAACACCAGCGAACTCACACTGGAGAAAAACCATATGAATGCAAGGAATGTGGGAAGGCCTTTGGTCATGGCTCTCAACTTACTCTCCATCAGAGAGTCCATACAGGTGAGAAGCCCTATGAATGTAAGGAATGTAGAAAGGCCTTCACTCAGAGCTCACATCTTTCTCGGCACCAACGAATTCATACTGGTGAGAAACCATTTCAATGTAAAGAATGTGAGAAGGCCTTTACTCGTGGGTCACAACTAATGCAACATCAGAGAATTCATAGCAGTGACAACTCTTTTGACTGTAAAGAATGTGGAATAGACTTTAGTCATCATACACAATTTTTTATTTGAGTTAACTTATTCTTTTTGATTAGCATAGCTAATCCGAGAATTCTTACAAATGTAAATATAGGACTCATGAAGTTCAGCATTTGAAAATTTATATGGGAGACTAAAAGTGCTGATATAATCCATATAGGAAAGTCTTGTTTGTAACTGTACTGCATTTTATCAAATTAAAATAGAAAGTGATTCTGTTACTGTGGTATAGAAAGGACTTTAGCACAGAAAAAGTCTGTGTCATCATTATTGTGGTCCTATAAGTTCAATTCCTTTGTGGCATTTGTTATAAGTAACCTTGCAATTTTTTTCATGTCATGTTTAATCATGTGAAAGTACTTAGATCAGTGCCTTGAACAGAGAATATCATAAACATTATGTACTGTTTTCATTATTGTGATTTTAAAGGGTTTGCATGGAAGAAGGAACTTACCAATGTAATTAATAGTAAGAAATCTTTCATTACTATTTGTCCTAGACAAATTATGTGGGTGGAAGGCATTATACACTGTCATCAACATGAGAAGGCATTCATTTAAATCTCATATTTATTATAAAAAGAAATTTATAGTACAAAGAAACCCTGTTGTATTAGTGTGTTACTGAGTACCACTGTTACAGAATGTAGGAGAGATGTGATTGATTTGTCACAAAGTCCTCACACTTATATGTTTCACCATCTTTGATGTCAACTCAAGAATAGTATTTATAAATGATGCGCTAAATACTCAGGATAAATCTAGGAAATGAAAGAACTTAGATATGTAGTTTGTTAACTGAAAGAAAAAAAGCTACACTTGCAGATTACATTTCACTTACAACGAAAAACTGATGTGTTTGTATCAGAAACTGAGGTTCTACCCAATTTTCATTTCCCTTTCAGTCACAAAACCCTGCACACACACACACACACACACACACACACACACACACACACACACACACACTATTTCAGTCTCCATGGCAGGTCAACAAGATGAGAATGGTACTTGTATGGGTAGAATATTTAGGAAATACTTCCTCTCTGTTTCTTTCCCCTTCTTAACACTGTGGGCATCTGGGGTGGAGCCCAGATAGGCTCATGAGTATTTTGGCAATGGTATCTGGGTGTTATGGATAATTTTGTGAACAATCATCCCAACTCTGTTCTGTTTATGTAATGCTCATACTTGATGCTTTCCTAATTCTCTGAACAATAAAATGTTCTCTCTCTCTCTGTCTGTCTCTCTCTCTCCCTTTTTTGAGACAGTTTCTCTGTATAGTCCTGTTACTCACTCTGTAAACGAGGATGATCTCAAATTTACAGAGATCCACCTGCCTCTGCCTCCCAAGTGCTGGGAGTAAAGGAGTATGCCACAATGACTGGTAATGAAATTTATCTAAAGGGCATAAAATAATGTTTTATCTGGAAAAATGCTACTGTGAACAAATGAAATTGCAATATTAAGCCAGGCAATGGTGGTACATGCCTTTAATCCCAGCACTTGGGAGGCAGAGGCAGGTGGATCTCTGTAAGTTTGAGACCAACCTGGTCTACAAGAGCTAGTTCCAGGACAGCCTCCAAAGCTACACAGAGAAACCCTGTCTTGAAAAACCAAAAATGAAAAAGGAAGAAAAGTCAACATTAATATAAGGTCATGGAGAATGACAGCATATATTCTTTTTTTTTTCTTCAGGCATTTGAACAGCCTGGAGCCTAATGTCTTGTAAGGCACATTTGATGCCAATCTAGGCTGAAATGTTAGAAGAAATGACAAGAATGATACAGAACATGCATGCTCAGTATTTCTTGTGAGTTCAAGTCCGGCCTGGACTACAAAGTGAGTTTCAATTAGAAAGGTAATGTATCCCATCAAATGAGATGGAGGAAGCTACCTAGGCAGTGGTGGCACACACCTTTAATCCCAGCATTTGGGGGTCAGAGGCAGGAGGATCTCTGTGAGTTTGTAACCACCTGGTCTACAAAGCAAGTTCCAGGACAGAAAGAGCTGTTATACAGACCAACACTGTATTGACAAAGAGATGGAAGAAGTTGAAGTTCCAACATAGAGGAAAACAGAGTTCAATTTTGGATGTGTTTAAGATTTTATAAATTACTATTCATATGTGTGTGTCTTTGTCTCTTCCATGTGTGGAAGTGTGCCTGAAAATGCCAGAAGGGGATGCTAGATTCTCTGGAGCTGTACAGGTGGTTGAGAGCCATCTGATGTGTGTGCTGGGAATGAGGCTTGGGCACTCAAGAATACTAAGCACTCTTAACCACTAAGCAATCTCTCCAGTTGCAAGGGGCTATTAATCTTGAGATGGTTTTTTAGATATCAAATGAAAATACTGACTGTACAGTTGGATATACAGCAGCTTGTATTACCATAAACTGAATACTAATAATTATTAGTTATATATATTTAGAACCCTGAAGCAGAGTTGTACCATTATGGACCTGTAAAGAATAAGGACTGAATGGTGTAGTGTCCAACATCAGGATCAAGAAAAGGACAGCAAAGGAGCTAAAATGGATCAAAGAGATGAGGAAAACAAAGACTAGCATTCCAGAAATCCAAAAGACTAGATAGAATTAAGGTAAATAGGATAATCAATGGTAACAGACTATTGTCGGATTAAATAATGAGACTTGAAAAATGGTGATTGGACTCAGCAAAATTGACATTGTTACATAACTTAGAGAAAACTAGAGATTTATTTTGAGGCAAGCATCAAAGACTGAAAAGAGAGTGATCTGAGCACTTGGAATCATGTCTTTAATCCAAGCACTAGAGAGGAATATGAGCTGGGAGGAGACAGGAGCTTAGGCAGTCTGAGGTTTGGTGGAGATCATTGCAATCTGAGGATTCTTGGAAACAGCATCACCCATTTCCATCTGAGGAACAAGTAAGAGCTAGTGGCTGGCTAATTTGCTTCTCTGATCTTCAACTTTAACTCCAGTCTGTCTCTGGTTTTTGTTTGTTTGTTCTTTGTTTTGTTTTTGGTTTTTTTTTTTCAAGATAGGGTTCCTCTGTATTGCTTTGGAACCTGTCCTGAAACTAGCTCTGTAGACCAGACTGGCCTTGAGAATTCACTGAGATCCCCCTGCCTCTGCCTCCCGAGTGCTGGGATTATAGGCATGCACCACTAACACTTGGCTAGACATTTTTAATATTTAAAAATTTTTGCTTTTATTCTTTTTTACATTCCAATCCCAGTTTCCCCTCCCTCCTCTCCTCCTGCTCCCCCCACTCCCTTCCCTCCTCCCATCTGCTCCTTGGAGGGTAAGGCTTCCCCTAGGAAGTCTACTAAGCCTGTCCCATCATTTTGTTGAGGCAGGACCAAGGCACTTCTCCACCCCCACACCCCTGTGTCTAGGCTTGGCAAGGTATCTCTCCATAAAGAATAGGCTCCACTAAGTCACTTTGTGCATTATTATTAGATCTTGGACCCACTGCCAGGGACTCATATATTGTCCCAGTCACAGCATTGTCACCTATATTAAAGGAGTCTAGTTCGGTCTTATGTAGGTTTCCCATTTGTCAGACCAGAGTCAGTGATCTCTCACTAGCTGAGGCCAGCTGATTCTGTGGGTTTCCCCATCATGGTCTTGACTCCTTTGCTCATATTATGGCTCCTCCCTTGCTTCAATTATACTCCAGGAGCTTGGCCCATTTATTAGTTCTAGATTTCTGCATCTGCTTCCATCTGTTTCTGAAAGAGGGTTCAATCTTCTCTGGGGTTGTGGATTGTAGGCTGGGTATCTTGTTTTACATCTGGTATCCAGTTATGAGTGAGTACATACTATATTTGTTCAGAACTCTATGGTTACTTAGTGGCAAGCTCCATTCTCTGACCCCCAGACAGGCTTTATTTGTGCAAGAAAGACATCACCACATAAGCATATCCTCCAGTTCTTCTGGCTTTATGGACTTCATTTAAGCCTATGGAGTCTGTCCTTCCTAGTGGTGTAGCTTGTGTCTGTGCCAATAGAGACTGTTCTTCCAACTGGTGTAGGTGTTTCTTGTGCCCATAGGGGCTGCTTTCTTCCAACTGGAGTAGGTGGTGCTTGTGTAAGAGTTGCTGATGTGGCCAGGAATGGTTGACCAAAGGGAGAATGATGGGGTCAGGGGGGTGGGTTGTAGAGTTGTAGAGGTTACAGAGTCCACTGGGTGTTAGGGGTGTTGGTACAGCCTGCCTGAAGGTCTCTTGCCTATTAACGGGCTGCTGGGGGCTGCTCCTGAGCAGTGGAAACCCACCAGTTTGGGGACAGGGCCCAGATGCCTTGCTGGGGCTGAGATGGGAGGGACAAAGGAGGTGCCCTGGGGTTTGGGGCCTGGAAATCGGGGCAGTTTAGCTGGGGGAACCAGTCACTCACCTGTTCTTCCAACTGGTGTAGGTGAGAATATAGGGGATGCTAATGTTGTGGTGGCCAAGGGGAGGCTGATGGGGTCAGTGGATTTGGATGGCAGAGTGCAACAAGTTAGGGGTTAGGCTTAACCCCTAAACCATCCCCCAACCCTCTTTTTTGTGTCTTTCTTTTTTCTTCATTTTTAGTTAGTAAATATCCTTTGTATATATGATGGTTAACAAATATCTTAATTTTAAAGAAGAATTTATTTTACTATTTTTTACTGAGAATTTTATATATGCTTATGTGTTTTGCTTAAATTTGGTCCCTATTCCATGTGCCAATTCCTCTCCTTTCTACCACTACTCTCCTCCCCCGATTTCATGTGTTCTCTGACAAGATTTGTTTTTAAGTGTGTGTGTGTGTGTGTGTGTGTGTGTGTGTGTGTGTGTGTGTGTAGGTGACCATGGAAAACAGAATCATGCAGTCCCCCTGGAACTGGGGCTACAATTGGCTGAGAACTGCCCAGCATGGCCACTGAACCATGTCTCCAGCTCTCTGGTAAGTATGGCTTATCTTTAAATGGAGAGATGGATTCTTGGCACTTCCTACACTTCCATATTCTCTAACATAAATATTTTTAAATCCCTGCACACAGGTACACTTTACTCATAGTTGTCACTACTTGAAAGCCATCCAGATGTCCTTTATTAGGTTAGCAAATTGAATATACATGCAATGGGATTATTATTATTATTATTATTCAGCATTTAAAAAGACCAACTGTTGTCAATTCATGAAGACAGAGGAAACCTAAATGCACATTATTGAGTCAAACATGCCAATCTGAAAAATCTACATTTTGTGTGATTCCAACATGACATTTTGGAAAATATGAAACAATGGACACAGTTAAGTTTCCAATAATTGGGGGAGAAAGAGATTGACAGGTAGTAGGACATGGAAGAATTTTTACGGCACTTAACTTCTTCCATGTTACAACATAATGGTGAATAAATTTACTCATTTGCATCAATCTCTATTATATACATCAAAGTGACTCTGAAAGAGGAGTTCGTGAAGTTCCAGCCCTCACTGAGGCACTATCAGCAAAGGATGCCTAGTGGGTGAGGGATGTCACTTTTCCTCAGGCTGCTGGTAGGTTGCCCATCCTCCAGTGGATGAATCTGTGGGAGCTGGGCATGGTGACATATACCTCTAATCCCAGCATTTGGAAGGCAGAGGTAGATCTTTGAGAGTTCCAGGCCAGCCTGATCTACCTAGCAAATTCCAGTTACATAGTGAGACCCTGTTTCAAAAGAAAGACATGGAAGTGGAAAGGGAAAGTTTGGAGGGGCTCTGAGGGCTTGGGAGAGGACACTTGAGTCTCCAAGATCAACATTGTAGTAGCATTTCACCTTGCTAGTGAATTTGTTTTAGTGGTCACACCCCTTGGGTGTGGCTTCAGGTGCAGACATGACCATGTGACCAGAAGGGGGGGGCAGGTCGAGGAGAGCATCAGGAGGACAGATATTGCATCTTCTGGAGCAGGAACATTGGGGCAGTTCTTTACTATTATTTGTGTACATTGTTCCCCAATAAAACACCCATTTATAATTTATCTTGGGTCTAGTGAACTTATTAATACCCTGCTTTCACAACATGTAATATACATATATGAACTGTCAAAGAATACATTTTCAAAAAGGATTTTAATGTAAACTTTGAGTGTTAACTAGAATCAATATAGGCTTCTCTGATGTAATAATGGATTACTTTCACCAGGAAGTATTAACCACAACACTGTACATGTGGTGGTGGAGAGATATATAGGAAACCTACAATTTCCTCTTTTTCTGAGAAACGAAAACTGCTCTTTTAAAGTGTGCCTGTATATAAATACATATAATGCCACTAGTAAATTTTGTCATGATAAATGTAAATTAAAAATAATTGTGCTTCCCATATGAGGGCTGGGCCTGAAAAAGGTGGTCAGATCAGTGCCAATGTACCTAGAAAGCTAAACAAAAACTCCTCACTAAGCCCTTCTGGTCTTGCTGCTGTCATGTGACTCATATTAAGTCAGTTCAACCTCCAATTATTCCATTTTGCAGGTGAGGTAATAAGGATTTACCATGCCTGGTGGTGGCAGTACATGCCTTTAATCCCAGCACTTGGGAGGCAGAAACGGGTGAATCTCTAGGTTTGAGGTCAGTGTGGTCTACAAAGTGAGTTCCAGGACAGGCTCCAAGGCTACAGAGAAATCCTCTGGGGCTGGTGGTGGTGGGGGGGGGGAAATGCTGGTGCCAATCTGAACCCATGTCCACAGCTTCCACTTACTGTTCTACTGGCATTCTTTGACTGCCTAACTTGGGTGTTTCATGACCCTTCCGTACCACTGACTCAGGTGCCCTGGGATACAGGCCTACACTTTGGGTTCTTTAGTGGACTTCAACAGAACTGTACATGTAGAGGTAACTATGAGTGGGTTTTAACCCCCACCCCCATTACTTTGAAATCTTTAGAATCGTGGCAGGGAATTCTGAGAAGAAACATCCATATAGTTCCCAATTATCCTATCATTAAGGAAATTAGAATCAGGTGAAGACTAGAGGTGGAGCTGTTTGGTGTGTTTTAGGGAAGTGGTCCTCTCTGTTGGAGCCTCCTAAGGAGTAAAATAGAAAAGGTCAGAGGCCCTTGGCATAAGCCAGGCTCAACACTCCATAATGCACATCTTCACGCACAGTGTAAACTCACAATGTAAATAGGGAAGACACTCTACAGAGAACAACAGGCAAAGAGTACAATATACAAGTCAGGAGTGCTATGGAAGATAAAAACGAGGCAGAGGCTAGGATTTTAAACCAAGCAGGCCAGGAAAGACTATGTGGAGTGTGGAGGTATCAGTGGAGGAAAGACAGGAAGGAGGAAGCTACCAGATGAATGAAACAAACCGCTCTTTGCAGAGGTACCACAAACGAAGATGCCCTGAGGCTGCACGTCAGCTAATGTGTCTAGGGACGTGGGAGAGGTCACTGTGGACTGTATCACACAGAGGTGGACAGAGCATACAGCGGATTGGTGGTAACTGTGGGTTCTGACCCCTTTGACAAAACTTCTACCTCTAAAAAGTATTTGCATTACAATTCATAACAGTAGCAAAATTACAATTATGAAGTAGCAGTGAAAATAATTTTGTGGTTGGGGGTCACCACAACACAAGGAACTCTATTAAAGAGTCAAAGTATTAGGAAGGTAGAGGACCACTACAACATTGGCGTTTCTATCCTCCAGCCATCTCCTACAAGCTGGGGGCTCTACCCTGTTTAGTATCTCATTACTCAACCTATGAATGTACACCAGAGTAATTCCTAAAGAGATTACTTAGTGAGGCAGCACACCTACCTGAGAAATATTAGCACACGAAGGCTGCTGATAGGCTGCCCATGTTCCACCCATGCACACACGGACATTTAGCTAAATCACCACCCCCAAGGCTGTTCTATGAATTGATTTACAAAAATCAAATCATCAAGGAAGGCAGTGAATATAAAAAACTGTGACAAGAGATTTAATTTAATCCAGGCATTCTGAAAATTTTACTTCAAGCCTTCCTAGGTGTAAAGGAAACTCAAGACATTATAATTTGGGTCAGGAGATGATGTGTTGATATTACAAATGTAGGGTATAAGGGCCAGCCAAAGAAACATACCCTGACCCTGAAATCAGAGCCAGTTCACTGGCCCTGAAACCAGAGCCAAAGAAAGACATTTTGCCTCTGACCAACACACCACAAAAACTAACCAATCCCTGAGCAAGAAACCAACCAGTCCCTGAGCACAAAATCCAGTTTGTCTAAACTCAGGGATTGAAATTTGATCAGTCCCCATCCTTAAAACGCCTCCCCTCAGAAGCCCTATATAAACCCTGTGCCTGTTCAGTAACGAGCTGCCCTTTTACATCCTGGCTGAGGCAGCCACTCTCCTGTGATGGGAGATGTCATTCTGTAAATATGTTTCTCTTATTGGTTAATGAATAAAGCCCTGTCGGCCAATAGGAAAGCAAGATAGGCAGGACTAGGAGAAAAGGAGAATCTGGAGGGAGGAGATTCAACATGTAGGACCGAGAGAGCAGAACCCTGGGCCCTCTCTCCGGTACTATATATGCACAACTGTGTTAGATTTAACCAGGAATGCAATCACACCCACAGGTCTGTTAATGTTTGAAAAAAGAAAAAAAAAAAAAAAAGACAGAAAAGGACTATCACTACCATGTATATTATATGGTTTTATTCAATTAGTTGGCACTATACCTATTCCACTAACAGGATTCTCATCAATGCCTATTGTTTCAAATTGATGCAGTTTCTTCTCAGCATGTAGACAGGTCCTTCTCCATTCAGTACTTTCTCTGAGGTCCTTTTCTGAGCAGTAATGTGTGGCACTGTCACATGGGCATTTTTATTTACAACAGTATACATGTCATTCCATTTCACAGAGACAGTGATTACAAGACATGTCCTCAATGAATTTTCCTCAGACTAAGTATGAATACTCTGATGCACACTGAGTACTGACTTCTGAACAAAGCCTTTCCCACAGACTGTACACTTATAAGGTTTATCTCCCGTGTGTGTTGCTTGGTGTTTATTTAAATTGGACCTATCAGTGAAGGCCTTCCCACACTCAACACACACATAAGGCTTCTCTCCTGTATGAATTCGCTGATGCACTTGGAGCTGTGATTTCTTAGTGAAAGATTTCCCACAGTCACAACATTCATAAGGCTTCTCTCCGGTATGAATTCTATGATGTGTAATTAACTCTGACTTCTGTCTGAAGGTCTTCCCACATTCAGAACAAATGTACGGTTTCTCCCCGGTATGGGTTTTTTGGTGCTTGCTGAGATTTGACCTGCCACTAAAGGCTTTCCCACATTGGGCACACACATAAGGTTTCTCACCTGTGTGGACTGGCTGGTGCACCAGGAGCTGAGACTTGGAGGTAAAGGACTTCCCACAGTCACTGCATTCATAAGGTTTCTCTCCAGTATGAATTCTTTGATGGGTGATGAAGTTTGACTTTCGGATGAAAGCTCGTCCACATTCAGTACACACATAGGGTTTTTCCCCCGTATGAATTTTCTGATGCACAATGAGTATTGATTTTTGATTGAAGGCTTTCCCACATTCGTGGCATTCGTACTGTCTTTCTCCCGTATGAATTTTCTGGTGTATATTGAGGTGGGATTTCTGGGTAAAGGCTTTCCCACAAATATTGCATCCATATGGTTTCTCTCCTGTATGAATTCTCTGGTGTATAATCAGGTCTGACCTCTGAGTGAAGGCCTTTCCACATTTTGAACATACATAGGATTTTTCTCCTGTATGAGTTTTCTGATGTGTGATGAGATTTGACCTGTTGGTGAATGCCTTCCCACATTTACTGCACATGTAAGGTTTTTCACCTGTGTGAATTCGTTTGTGTACATGGAGCTGTGACTTGGAAGTAAAGGGTTTCCCACAGTGACCACATTTATAAGGTTTTTCTCCAGTATGAATTATCTGGTGTGCAACCAAGTGTGCCTTTTGGATGAAAGCCAGACCACATTTCATGCACACATATGATTTTTCTCCTGTATGGATTCTTTGGTGCACTGTGAGAGCTGACTTCTGAGTGAAGGCCTTTCCACAGTCACTGCACTGATACGGTTTCTCTCCAGTGTGAATTCTCTGATGAATGATTAATTCTGACTTATAGGTGAAGGCCTTCCCACATTCAGTGCAGATGGAAGATTTCTCTCGAACTTGAACTTTTCTACGTGTAACAAGGTTGGAACTACTGCTGATTTTCCCATATTCTGCAGATATATATGGCCTCACTCTTGTGTGAATTCGTTGATGGACCTGGAGTTGTGACTTGGAAATGAAGGATTTCCCACAGTTATTGCATCCATATGGCTTTTCTCCAGTGTGAATTCTCCGATGTGCAACCAAGTGTGTCTTCTGGATAAAAGCATGTCCACATTCAATACATATATAGGACCTCTCTCCTGTATGGATTTTCTGGTGCATCTTGAGTGTGGACTTTTGTGTGAATGCTTTGCCACAGTCAATGCATTCATGATGTCTCTCTCCTGTATGGATTTTCTGATGTATACTGAGGTCTGAGTTATATGAGAAGCCTTTCCCACACTCGCTGCATTCATAGAGCTTTTCTCCAGTGTGAATCCTCTGATGTCTGAAGAGAGAAGATACTTGGAAAAAGGACTTTTCACAGTCATTGCATTTATAGGGCTTCTCTCTAGTATGGGTTTTCTGGTGGGTAATCAATTCTGGCTTCTGTGAAAATGCCTTCCCACATTCCACACATACATAGAGTTTTTCTCCTGTATGAGACTTCATATGTACTTTGAACTGTGACTTCTGAGTGAAGAACTTTCCAAATTCAGCACATTCATATGATTTCTCACCAATATAAATTTTCTGATATTGACAAGGCACCTGTTCATAAGTGAGGACTTTCCCACATTGATTATGGTCCGATAATTTCTCTCCTGCTCCAGTATGCTCAGTATTGGTATAGGATGAAATTTTACCATATTCAGTAATCTTTTTAATTTTCTTTGGCCCATTATGTTCATTATGACTCTGTAAATCTAAATTATGCTTCAGATCATTCTCAAATGAGTCACGCTGATGGGGTCTTTTGGAAGGGAGGACAATATATGGGTTCACATGAATTATTTTTCTAATGACCTTACATCCATAATGATTCTTTGTATCCAATGTCTTCTTGATGAAAATAATATCACTTCCTGATTTGCTTCCTATTTGCCGATAGGTCTCTTTCTGGTCACCAATCTGTTGCGATTCTTCTAGAACAAAACATGAGAAAAAATTTGTAAAACTATCTTCTTGCTCAATGTTCAAGGAGGTTTTTTCAGAACTCCTTACTGTAAAGCTAGCTTCTTTTCTGAAGGTGGAATGTGTTACTTTAGTTTCAGCACAGTTAGCAGAGGCTACATGACAGGGTACAAATGGCTCATCCAGGATGAACACAGAGAAAGAAAGGGTAATAACTTGATAATGAAGGTTGTGATTGACAAGAGACATCAGGGACACAACACATTAGTTATAGGAAATAGCTAAAGAGGTAAATTATGTACAAGCAGGTGTGTACAAAGAACACAGTACATAGACCAAACTGATATTTCTATAAACTATTCTATAGCTCAAATTTATTTTACACTGCATAACATAGGTGGTTTTTAAATGTTTCCATCATAGGGAGGGAGGAGGATGAGAAAGAGAGAAAAGGGAATTCTAATCCCATAGTGTAAGTCTAAAACAGAAGATTATAACTAAATGCAGGCCTCTTCAGTACAGTAATAAAACAGCAACAACAACAGAAAAATCAACTAACTAGGAAGAAAGACCCTGTCAAATGTGAATTCACTCAGGCAGCATTAAGAAGCTTTGCAAAGGGTGATTAATAGTGTCAACCACAGCAGTCAGATACTCCCAAAGGTTTAGTGACAAGGATTCCCAAATCATAAGCTAGAGGAAAGGCAAGGTGAGTTGGGAAGCAATGAGAAATCTCATGGCCACAAAAAAAAAAAAAAAAAAAAAAAAAAAAGCAGGAGGAAAGCTGGGTTGGAGATACAGTTCGGAAGCATCTTCCTGGGAAAGGAGAAAAGGGGATGTGTAGGAGTATAAATATGTATATCACAAAGTAACTATGAAAGAAAGATTCATAAATACCTGTGAATATAAGTAAAGACTAAGGCCATGGGAAAGGTATGAGAAAAGGAAAGTCAGTTAAAAAAGTAAAAGTAACAGAAGAAGAATGAGGTAGATTATTAGCACAGATTCTAGAATCTTTAAAGCCAAGAAGACAGAAATAACAAAGGCCATCCAGGTAGAAGACATTCAGTTACTTGAGAAGTCAATGTTAAGGGTCTTCAAGTCATACACACACACACACACACACACACACACACACAGAACCTTCCCCAGAAGTCATCTTAGCAGCATTTCTAAGGTGCCAATCTTGTGCAAGGCAGCCAAGATTTTCTTTCATGCTTTGCTGAGGATCCCTTCCTCCCACCTAAACGAGTCACATTCATTCACCTACACAGTGCTAACATGGGCTCTCATCCTGCAATGCCCATGGTTCCTTTCCTCACATGAAAACCTCCGTCTTGGGAACATGATATCCTCTTCACAGAAAATGATAAAGGACTGGGTCCAACTACTTATGTTTCAGAGTCCAATCCATAGAGTCTTATTGTTTAATGAGAATTTGTTCTTAAGTAACCATGTATCTCTATGAACAGAGTACTCTTTAGAGTGCACAAAGGAGATAAAGAACCCTGATTACAGGGCTAGAGAGATGCTCAGCAATTATGAACACGTGCTCTTAACTTTAAGGCTTGCTTCATAGCATCCACATTGGGCACTCACAACTGCCTGCAAATCCAGTTGCAGCGAATCTGAGCTCCTGGCCTCCACAGGTACTGCACTTTCACAGTGATTACACATACACATACACATACTCACAAAATGAAGAAAGAAATCTTAGAAGAATACTAGTAAATACAGACAAAACTATGACATATATAAGATACCTCACGGTGGGCATCCAGCTGAGGACAGAATATGCTCAGCAAGGCTTCCTTTCAGGTAACAAGGGGACCCTGCTTACCTACTGAGCGCAGGTGACTATAGGTCTCCTGCATTACATCCCGGTAGAGACTTCTTTGATCAGGGTCTAGGTGCTGCCATTCTTCTCTGCTGAAATCTATAGTCACATCCATGAAGGACACTGACCCCTGTAAGAGAAAATTCCTGTTCAGTGTAAGCAGACTTGGGGTGGGGTGGAAACACATACTTAGAAATATAAAATATGGGTTTTGGTTTTTGTCTTCCATTCATTTGTAAAAGTCCCTGGAGACTGAGGCCGGCAAGATAGCCAAGTAGAAACCCTAACAGTCATCCCACAGGAAAAAAAAATAACAAACTACTATATGTTGATGACAATAACTAAGGAAGATTCCTGGGGGTATCAGAGGTGTCATAGAAACCACACAGAGCACAGAAACCCAGGATGGCCACATGAGAGAACAAAAGGTAATCCCTCACCACCTTCCCAGCCCCTAGTAGCAGTCAGCTCAGAATCAGGAGGGCAAGAGGATCCCAGCAACCATCATTACCTTGGGCATTGTAATGGTTAATTTTGTCAACTTGACACAAGGGACTGTGTGGATAAAGTTGGCCTGTGGGAGACTGTCCTGATTATGGACAGCCCACTGTGGTCTGCACCATTTCCTAGGTAGGGGATCCAGACCTGAATAAGTTGGGGTGGGGGGAGCAGAGGGAGCTGGGCACATGTAAGCATGCATCATGAATTCCCTTGCTCTCGACTGTAGATGTGACTAGCTGTTTCCTACATGAACACTGTAACCTGGAATCGTGAGCCAAATAAACCCTTTCTCTGTTGTTTTTTGAGGTAAGAAATGAGAAATGACACCAGGGCAGAAATCTACATCCTCAATCCTAGGTTTCCTGCGGGCCCCACAAATGCTAAGCACAGCTGAGGGAGTTGACTGGAGACTACACAGTTATATTCTCTCCAAACAAGTGCCGGACACTGTGCCTTGCCTCCTGTGGTTCATGGAGAGGCTGCACTACACCACCTTGATGGGTAGCTTGATCCAGGGGCCTGGACACCGCTCCATCTCAGCCCCTGAAGGACAGGGCGTACCAGGCAACGATGCAGGGGCAGAGAGAAAGGCTTTACAAGTTTGGTGCCAAAGGAAGTGTTCGGTGGGAAATCTCCAGTTCCCTCCTGCTTGATCTAGAGGCCTCATTTTCTCTCTCCAAACCCCACCCTCTCAAAGAATCTCCAGTGGAGAAGAACCACCAAAAATCCCAGTGCCACACTCTTGGTGGCTGTGGCAGCTTCTCCCCTGAAGTTGCCAGTGGCCCAAGTACCCACGCAAAACACTGTATTTGGGCACAAACCCAGCTTGAGGTGGACACGTCCTCACCCCTTGTTTACAGGGTAAACACCCTGCTTTATTTCGGCCATGGAATTTCTCCCGCCTCCATCTCTGGGGCTGGAGGACTCACCCCAGAGTTGCTGTGCTCAAAATAAACCTGTTCTTTTACCTTTTCAGTTCAGCTTGATCTGGTTTACTGCATCAGCGGAGAAACCTATCACTGGGATACAGAAAACCCGCTAGGTAGGATATAAGAGAAGCTACCTAGGGGACAGTGGGCCACCAGACAGACGGGTCAGTGTTGATCTCTGTTCATTTTTATTTAAAGATACGTTGATAAATATTGTAATTCTTTGTATATTATTCTTATTATCAATAAGATTTATCCACTGATAAATTTATCATTTTTAGGTGATTTCATCTTAAATTCTTTATTAGTAAACTTGCAGTTGTAGCTTTCTTCCTCCCTTCTTCCCTCCCTCCCTCCCTCCCTTTCTCTTCCAAGTCAGAGTTTCTCTGTGAAGTTCTGGCCGTCTTGGAACTCACTCTATAGACCTGGCTGGCTTGGAACTCACAGAGATCCACCTGCCTCTGCCTCCTGAGTATTGGTATTAAATGCATGTGCCACCACCACCCAGCTTGTAGGTTTCTTTTGATTCTTATTTCTGAGCCCACATTTTTCTATTCCTTTCTTTTAAATAAGAAAAGCAGCTGCCGACAGCTGGGCATGGTACTATCATGTGAGCTTCAGTGTTGCTAGAAACTGGATTGATGGGGTCGTTCAGATCATGGTGCTCTCCATGGTGTTTTACACACACACACACACACACACACACACACACACACACACACACACACACAGAGGACCTCACAGGTACTCAACATTAAAGAAGACTTGCTGCTGTCTGGCCACCATGGTAGAAGACAAAACCAAGACCTGTTGTGGGATACATTGATGGCATCTAACATTCCTGAGACTGGCAATAAAACTGACTTTGAGTAAAGAGGGCGGAGCTAGCTACTAGCTGACCAAAATTAGCCATAGGGGTTTTGGAGGATCAAGGACAAATAGAGAGACACAGGCAGTAGTAGGGAGGGGCTGAGAGAAGGGAGAGTAGAGGTCAGTGACTGCTTCTCTGCCATTTCTCTGACCAATCAGGTTCTTACTCTGATATCTGACTCCCGAGTTCTTATTGATAAAGGATAATTAGAGAAACACTTCAAATACCAGACCACTCTGTAATCATGTCTAAGCACAGACAGAAATCACAGTACTATTCAATTGCAAAGGCAATAAACATCCTCTTATTCCCACCAACACAAAATGACTGTTGCAGTCGATCCTGTCTCCCATTTTCTACATAAAAATGACTGAGACAGACAAAGCTCTACTGCACAACAGAGCAGAAACGTCTTTAAGATTCAGCTGAGACTTGCTACCTGTGGTCAAAGCTTGAAATAAAATCCTACTACTTCTTAGAGATCAGAAAAAACAAAACAAACAAACAAAAAAAAAACCACTTTTTAAAGAGAAAAATGCTGTCTACAGAATGCTCTGTATTTACCAAACATTTACAAACAAATTGCAATGCTAAGAGTTTTGAAATCACAAGAGAAAAATAGTTTCCATGTATATAATGAACAGAAAACAATCCATGGCAAATGATATACATTGGGCATCTATAGTTTTCTGTGACCTGGGCATGTAGAGGATGAGCTGAGTTAATCTTTCTCCTGTCTTTCAACATAGTACTTTTAGTGTTGTGTTTTATTTAGTTCCCCATATATGAACAAGTATATATACATTGCCTATTCAAAATAATGTAATCATTCCTAACAAACTATCACTATATCATCAGAAGGATAAGGCATACAACAATAACGAACAACAAACAACAAATGCTGTAAAAATGAGTATTTAAAAAAAGTAGAAAGTCAGACAGTAGTGACACACACATTTAATCCCAGAACTTAGGCAGCAGAGTCAGGTGGATCTCTTGAGTTTGAGGGCCAGCCTGGTCTATAGCAAGTTCCAGGCCAGCCAGTGCTACATATTAAGAGTGTCTAAAAAAGAAAAAATAAAATAAAGGCTCTTTTGCTCGGTTGACTTCCTGCTATCTTTGAGTCAAGATGTAGAACTCTCGGCTCCAGGACCGAGTCTACCTGCACCCTGCCATGCTCCCCACCGTGATGATAACTGACGGAACTTCTGAAATTCTGGATGTGTTTGCATGTATCTGTAATCACAACACTCTTAAGGTGAGATGAGGAATCATGAATACAAAAAGCAGGACTGTGCCTCAGAAACAAGATGGCAGAACCAACTGAAGAGAATCCACCTGAATCCAACTGGAGAGAACCCTGACTCCCAAATGTGCTGTGACTTGTAAGTACCCACGTGCACACGCATGCTCCAGTGTGCACACACACAAATTAACTAATTAGTTAATTAAGAACAAAATAGGCCAGGAGGTGGTGTGCTCCTTTAATCCCAGCACTCGGGAGGCAAAGGCAGGTGGATCTCTGTGAGTTCGAGGCCAGCCTGGTCTAGAGAGTGAGTTCCAGGACAGCCAAGGCTACACAGAGAAACCCTGTGTCAAATCCATGCCCCCCAAAAAAGAATAAAATAATTTAAGGTTTTTTTTTTTTAAAGGAGTAGAAAAAGAACAAAAATGCCTAAAAGAATTTTAAAAATGTAATTCTATGTGTATGAATATTTTGTCAACATGTATGACTATGCACCACTTGCATGCTTGGTGCCTACAGAGACCAAAGGAGCATCGGATCACCTGAAACTGGAGTTATAGACAATTGTGAGCTCCCATGAGAGTTCCAGGAATCAAACCCAGGTCCTCTGGAAGAGCAGACAGTGCTCTTAACCACCAAGTCATCTCTGCAACCCAAGGGCTTTAAAACAAGCAAACAAACAAACAAACATTTACTTATTTCTATTTCTGTGTGTGTGTTTCATTTCGTTTACATGTATGTACATGTGCACTACATGAGCATAGTACCCAAGGCAGCCAGAAAAGGGCACTGAATCACCTGGAACGGGAGTTACAGAAGGCCGTGAGCCATCATGTGGGTGCTGGGAACCAAACCTGGGACCTCATAAAAAGGCACTGAGTGCTTTTAACTGCTGGGCACCTGTCCAGGTCCAGACTAAAGGGCCTGTGTGTACTCCTGTATGCCATGGTGAGTATGTGGAGTCTGCTCTCTCCACTTTTATGTGGGACACAGAATTGAATTCAGGTTCCATGCTTACAGGGCAAGCACACTTACCTGGCCAAACTAATTCTTTTTTTATTGAAACTGGGAATTAAATGTCAATAGTGGTAATAGGCAGCTCAACAGAGGGGTAGGAGACAAAGTTGACAGTGTTTCCCAGAAGAAAAACAACAAAGGAAAAGAGTGGAAGAAAATACAAATTGTAAACACACCAAGAAACAGAAATCTCACAAACGGAATAAAGAGAATATATATGTTCTGTGTGGCAACTTGAGAAGAAACAGAGACGTTTCTTCAAAAACCCTACAAGAAGTAATTTCCACCAAGAATATTATTCACAGACAAAAGATAAAGACAGTAAGATGACAGCAGTCTTTCACCCTGGTCCATCCTCCTTGCCTCTGATGCTGGGGACCTTTGCCCAGAGGTTCTTAAAGATCAATATTTGTTCCCTGGGGAGCAGGATAAGGAGTTTGGTTACCTCCCGTGGTCTATCTGCTTTACCTCTGAGGCTCTATCGACAGATCAGAGGCATCTATTTCCTGGAGGAAGTCCCAACCCCAGGAGTCCTCCTGCTCACCTCACAGGAGCTTCCAGGATCCTCTGGTGCCAATGGTGTATCTTCCTGAGTTGATGAGCAGCTGGTTGGCATGGCCACCCCCAGTCTTGACCCTGTCCTCTCAGCAACCAGAATGGTTCTCTATGAATTCAGTCAGAGGTGTGGGGAAGAGGCGATCTGGAGTCTGGTGGAAGATCTTGTGAGGAGTCCCATGGAGATACCAAGAAATCTAGAAAGATCAAGCCCTTAGACATTCATCACTGAAACACATCTTGGGCATCTGAAGGTACCAGACAGTATGGAGCAGTGGTTCTGTGGGTCGTGACCCCTTTGGGGTTGAATAACCCTTTCACAGGGGTTGCCTATAATTTCTAACAGTAGTGAAATTGCAGTTATGAAGGAGCAACCAAAATAATATGATGGGTGGGGGTCACCACAACACGAAGAACTGTATTAAAAGGTCACAGTGTTAGGAAGGCTGAGAGCCACCGCTCTAGAGGACACAGCTAAAAAATTCCCAGTCTCGCTTCACTCCCGGTTTCTGCTGGTCTAAGGACTTCCAAATTTATGCTTCTAACTAGTACCTGATGCTGAAATTGTTGTATCACTCAATAAATAGTGCTGGGAGAATATAAAATGTAAGAAAATCTGGGTCTGGGGAGACATCTTAGAGGATAAAAATCACCCACTACCAAATCCCAACCCAAGTTCCACCCCCAAGACCCACAGAATGAAAGGTGAGAATTGGCCCGTGCAAGCTCTACCCTCCACACACGCCATGGCATGTGCTCATGCACACTGATACACACACACACATTGTGGAATATTTGTTCAAGAACATTCATTTATGCTATGGAATATTTGTTTGCTGATGCAAAGATGTGCTGCAATATCAAAATGTAAAGAGAACATAATCAAAATAAGCAAATATACCCAAGACATTCATTTTGTAATTGATGCTGCTATAACTGGCTATCTATCACCTAGGGGAGAAAAGGGAAACTAGACCAACCATCACACACCGTTCAGTATACAAACTCAGGCATGACCGAAAATTTAAATATATGTACTTCTAGACACCCCCAGAATATTAAAAACATTCTGGAGTCTGACTTTGGGTAACACTGCTCAAGAGACTGCGAGTGGTCCTATCACATGGGAAACACAAGTTACAACAACAGATGAGAGTAGAGTTTCACCGAAGTCCAAATTGGTGAGAGTTTGTGGGGCTTGCTTACAGGGCACAGACGAGGGGTTACTAAAGGACCAATGGTGACCCCCAAAACATCATATTAAAAGTCTTACTCCTTCGTGGATGACCAATTCACGGACACCGCATCACCAAGCCCTGCTTTGAATTAATCACCCACTTCTCATGTATTGTACGTCTCTCAAGACCACACGCAGCTAGAAAAGGGATGAGGATGCCCTCACCTTTCCTAGGGAGCAACAACAGCGCCATGACATTACATAACCTACCACTCACTCTCAGCTCTGTTCTGGTTGTCATAGTTTGGAGCAAAGTCCAAGAGGAAAAAGCTTCCATCCATCACACACGGAAGAGGAAAACCAAAGCTATAAAACACACAACACACATTATGTGATAAAATATGCCACAATGGGGGGGGAGGGGTAGCAAGGTGACTCAGGTGCTAAAGGCACTTGCCATCAAGCCTGACAACCCAGCTTTGCTCCCCAGGGACCCACGTAGTGGAAAGAGAGCCAGCTCCCATGGGTTGTCCTCTGACTTCCACATTTGTGACATGTGGATGTGAATATATACATAAAATGTGTGTGTGTGGGGGGGAGGTGCCTGGAGCCTATAGCTCAGAGGTAGAGCATTTGCCTAGCATGCTTGAGATCCTTGGTCCAATCCCCAGTAACAAAAAGATGGGGGGGGGGAAGATATGTATTATTTTCATCATGAGACCAGTAGGTTTTTTCCTAATTTAAAAAAAAAATAAAAATTTAGCAATTGCTTTTTAAAAGCTAAGGGGTGAGAACTGGACAAAAGATAGAAATTTTTGCAAAATGAAAAGCATTTGGGAAAACAAGCTCTTTTACAAATTGATGATGATGGATGCTTGAATTTCTATACTATCCTTTGAGCTATTTAGTCATAGTTATTATTAAAAATACTTGCCAGGTGTTGGCCTTTAATCCCAGCACTCGGGAAGCAGAGGAAGGTTGATTTCTGTGAGTTTGAGACCAGTCTGGTCTACAGAGCTAGTTCCAGGACAGGCTCCAAAGCAATACAGAGAAACCCTGCCTCAGGGAGAAAAAAATACTGATAGCCCAGCATAGTGGCACATGAATTTAATCCCAGCACTTGGGAGGCAGAGTCAGTCGGATCTCTGTGAGTTCAAAGCTAGCATAGTCTACAGAGCAAGTTCCAAGACAGCCAGGGCTACAGAAAAACTGAGTCTCGAACCCTTCCCCCAAAATACTCGGAAATGGAGGGAGGTAGTAGGGGTAGGTAAGATCAAAATACATTGTATACATATAGAGAATTTTTAAAAAATAGGTAAATGTATTATGTAAAAATATACATGTGTTGGTAACAATATACTTCAAACATATGAGCAATACACCTCCCCCACAACTATGCAGACAAAAAAAATTGTAAGGTCATATGATATCTTAAAATATATGCTCATTATATCACAATACATTAAAGAATGAATTATTTTTATGCAGTAGATGTGACATTTATGAAAAGTGATTATGGTATAGGCCATAAAGCATTTTTCAATTCGACCACTACTCAGGGACATTATTTGAAACAGGAAAATGCACTTTAAAATGACTCCTGGATAAAAAAAAAAATTAAAAAAGAAAGCCACTTATATTTGAAAACGATAAAGAACATTCTATATACCAAAGGTTGTAAATTTTTTACATTAAGGCTAAAAATTATTGACTAAACTTTCAGGTTAGAAAGCAACCTGGTAACAGATGCCACAGCCCCTCTAGTGCAGCCCTTCTGTCACTCATCACAGTCCCTAACGTCACTCACACCCCGCCACCCGCCCAACCTCCAGTCTCCAAAACTCAGAGTCCCGTTATTGACAGAAGGAATCCTCGCCATTGACAACCAGCAGGCAGCACGGCATCACTAACTCCTAACGGCCACACACCACAGACTGCACAGATTTCTAGTTGAAACCAACCGGAATCATCTCCGAAGACTTCTTGTTATTAACCGAATTAATAACAGAAATATTCAATAGCGGCAGCGCGGGCAAGAAACCACCTTCGAGGACCATGGCCACTTCCGGTCTTCCAAAAAACGCCCTCTTGCGCATGTGAAGCCCGAGAAAGCCAACGGAGGACAAGGCGCGCGCGCACGCACACACGCACGCGCACACACGTGCAGCTTCAAGATCCTTCGCTGACAATTCCTTAAGGGGCCCGGGGAACATGGCCGCGCCCACTGATGCCTATTCATGTTGGCCGCCATCTTTGAGGCTTATCCATTCCGTACAGCGGAGAATAGATATCCAGCCAGATATCACAGAATGGGATTAAGAGCTGTCGCGTAGATCAGAGTGCGGTGGCCTTTATCACCCGAGAGGAGGAAGGTACGCGACACTCCGAGTACAGCGCCACCTGCTGGAAGAAAGCGTAGGGTACAGCGGATCCAGAGAGGAGAAAAACCTTAAAGAGAGTGGGCTCGTGGGAGAAACCACTGGGAAATGAGGGGAGAGACCAAGGTGGTGCCATGCGTTTTACAGAAAAATCATTCATGGAAAAGGTTGACAGTTCAGGATGGAAATATGCTCCGGAGAGAAAATCCCAGGAGGCGTCAGAATCAGTATCACAAGCGACTGGAAGAGTGTTAAAATCTTTAATGGGACAAACCACATTGGGAGGTGGGGGAGAAGGGGGGAGTGGTCAATCCGGTGGACGATACCACAAGCGAGGGGAGCAGTCGAGGCGTCCTTTTGAAGGATGCAGTAGAGTGCAGGCATAAAATCCATTCATTTCCATTATTCCCCACTCTAACCACCTCGGGTAAAGTAGTAGGCAGCAATAATAAAAATAACAGTTGAAAGGAAAAGTATCCACCCAGGACGCCCAAGGCCAAGTTCTCAGAACAAAGGAGGTGTATTTGCCCTAGAGGGACAGGGCAGGGAATAAGAGACAGAGGATAGAGGGAGGACAAGGGAGAAAGGGAAAGGAACAAGGAGATGGGGGGTTATTTGCTCCCACTCTGACTCTGGATAGAGGGGAGACAGACTCATAGGCAAATGACAGTTTATAAAGGTCTAAGAGGAAACCCCGCGTTAGGATGAGGTGTTTAATTAGGCATGTTAATTAGGTGAGCCAAAGGGGGCTTTTGATTGCTGAACTTCAATATTTCCATCGGTCATCAGTCTCAGGAGAGGAAGTGGCCAGATAAGGGAATAGACCTTGGTGGCTAGCTTTAGGAAAGTAATCTAACAGTTTTTAGCAAGGCAGAGGTTTTTTGTTTTTTGTTTTGTTTTTTGATGGGGGGGGGAGGGTGTTTTGAGACAGAGTTTCTCTGTGGCTTTGGAGCCTGTCCTGGAACTCACTCTGTAGACCAGGCTGTCCTTGAGCTCACAGAGATCCACCTGCCTCTGCCTCCCAAGTGCTGGGATTAAAGGTGTGCACCACCAATGCCTGGCTCAGAAGTGTTATAGAATAACCTTTTTGGTCACTGTGAAGAAGTGTCTTTGCCAAGATGCCTTCTGACAGGTTTAATAAAAGAGCTGGGCAGGAAGAGATTAGGTGGGGGAACCAGATTAGGAGAATGCTGGGAAGAATGCCAGAGTCTGAGGAGTCTCCAAAGAGGCAAAGAGAAGCAAGATGAAGGAAGACACCACCACAAGGCAGGGGGCAGATAAGAAATACGGGTTAACTTGAACTCTTACGAGTTAGCCACTAACAAGTCTGAGCTAGTGGCCGAATACTTATAATTAATATTAAGTCTCCATGTCCTTTATTTGGGAACTGTTGGTGGAGAAGGAAAATTCCACCTACACAGAGGGCATGGGAGAGAAGGGGCAAGGTCTGTTTGCTACTTCTGGGCTGACCAGAGTCCCTTCAGTAGTTTAATGACAGGAATGATGGCTCACACTTGAAATCTCAGGACTCTGGGAGGAAGAGACAGCAGACCAGGCTGAGGGATGAAAGAAAGGACTTAATATAGCCAACATGTGACTAAAAGCACCTAAAATAAAAATGTCATTTATAAATAGCCATGCCCTTTCTGTGTAAACAAAGCCTTAATTTGATACCATGACTCACTCTCCAAATATCTAATTAAACTTAAAAGACTAACAAGAGAAGCCAAGCTGGTGGCTCAAGTGTCAAAGACTTATACCACTTTTGCAAAGGACCACAGTTCTGTTCCCACGAGAGTCAGCTCACAAATTTTTATGTAAATTCTAGGTGATCTGGCACCCCCTTCTGGCCTGTGTAGGCACTGCACTAATGTATAAACACACACACACACACACACACACACACACACAATTGTTTTAATGGGATATGAAACAAATAAACGTTTCTTATATTGCTAGTGAAATTAAATAGTATGATCACTTTGTAAGACAGCCTGGCAATTACTTACAAAATTAAATATTTGCTTACAAGATTCACTGATTCTACTACCACATATTTCCTAAAATAAATGAAAGCATGTATATAAAAAGAATTGTAAGCAAATGCTTCCATCTTTTTATTCAAATCAGCTAATCTGGAGATAACAGAAACATTCACAAACATGTGACTGGACATACAAACTCAGACCTAGAATTCATAAAAGGAATGTTATTCAGACAATCAGGGTGGGGCTTGATGTATAGAAACAGTCTAGGTAGAGCCTGCTGATGGTGGTGCACTCCTTTAATCCCAGCACCTGGGAGTGATTGACAGGTCGTTCTTTGTGAGTTCAAGGCCAGCCTGGTCCACATAGGGAGTTCCAGGATAGCCAGGGCCATACAGAGAAACTCAGTTTCAAAACCCAAAAAGGTCTAGGTCATAAATACAACAGCAGTGACATATATTCATGTTGAACCTCATCAAACAACTCACTTTAAAATCAGTGCATTCTTGGTGCTGGAGGGATGGCTCAGTGATTAAGAGTACTTTCTGTTCTGGCAGAGGACCTAACTAAATTCAGTTCCCAGCACCCACAGGGTTGTTCACAACCATTTGTAACTCCAGTTCCTGAAGATCCCGTCCGTGCCTTAGTCTGGCCTTCACAGGCTGCCTGCTGCTGGTAGTACATATACATACGTGCAAGTGAAGCCTCTTACAGGCGTGTTTTAATATAAACATATAATTCATGTGTTTTATTGTACCTAAATTGTAGCTCAGTGGACTTGATTTTCTTTTAAAAACCCAACATAACTATAACTCATAAGACATACAAGGTTCGATTTCTTGCTGCAGATAATTAAGTTGCTTTTAGTGTATCCACAGAGTTGAGCACATGTCGCCATTACCTAATTTAAGACTATTTCTTCCCTCCCTCCCCCCCTTCCTTTCTTCCTTTCTGGTGTTTGTTTGTTTTGTTTTTTGAGACAGTGTTTCCCTGTGAAACAGCCCTGGCTGTCTTGGAACTAGCTCTGTAGACCAAGCTGGCCTTGAACTCACAGAGATCTGCCTGCTTCTGCTTCCTGAGTGCTGGGGCCACCACCGCCCAGCTTTTTTATTTTTTTATTTTGTGTGTGTGTGTTTTACCTAGACCTCAGAAGAGGGCACCAGATTTCATTATAGATGGCTGTGAGCCACCATATATGGTTGCTGGAAATTGAACTCAGAACCTCTGGAAGAGCAGCCAGTGTTCTTAACCTCTGAGCCATCTCTCCAGCCCCAAATATTTTCACTATGGGGTATGCTGAAGTTCACCTTTATTGTTCAAGCATTTGTGAGACAGGGAAAGATGGATCTCGGTGAATTCAATGCAAATCTAGTCTACGTAGTGAGTTCCAGATCAGCCTGGAGTGAGACCTAGACTCAAAAAGAGTCTCTCTCTCTCTCTCTCTCATTCACTCACTCACTTACTCACTAAATTACAAAAGAATCCCACCCATACTTACACAGGACTAATCACTCCTAAATCTGATAGTTTTTAACAACTAATATTCATTCTTTTATATATGCCTTCTAAATGGGTCATATAAACCCTATAATGTGGCATAACGGGCGTCTTTTCGTCATCTTGAACATTCCTACAGTGAATTCCCACGCCCACAAGCCTCCAGACACCGGGTGTGGTCTTTCAGAAATCATTTAAACAACTTTGTTCCAGACCAGTGCCACGCAGTTTCCGTCTCTAGACTACATTTCCCAGAAACACATGCGACGCCACACAACTTCCGGCGCCAACCTGGCTCCCACTGTCTTACTCAGAAAATACAGTGATTCCCTGAGGTTGGCCGTTACCATGGACGGGGTTTGTGTCCAGGATGTCAGCTCTGCGTGTGGTGAGAGTTTCGGTCCGAAGTCGTACCTATGTCTAGGAAACTTGCTCACGCAATTCCAAGTGCGGGGCGAGCCCTTCGGCCTGCCTCAGGCAGTGTCCTGGCGGGAATCCGAGAACGGACGCCATTTTCCCCGCCAGGTCCCATCGCGGACTACATTTCCCAGAAACTACCGCGAACTCGAGGCATCCCCTCCTTTTGCCTGCGGGACCCTCGTCGTCCGGAGAAGGGAAAGTGTGCGGGGAGCGGCCTAGGTCCTTGTTAGACTCCGCAGGTGCGCCCCTGGGTTCTAAAGGGAAATACCAGTCGCTCTGCGAGCTGTCAAGCCTGTGGGAGTTGGTCTAGCTGGGTGAGCAGTGGCGAGGTCTTGGCTGTGAGTGAGTGTGACCTTACGGGACCCTAGGGCGCCACGAGTGCGCGGGTGTGATTTTTAGGTTTCTCTGGTGATTTCGCAGAGAAGGCGCTCAAGAGCTTTGTGTGCAAGTGTACACATTTTCCTTATTAGCGTGTGCAGGTGTGATTGCTTGCCCGCGGGTTTGGACTGGTTGTGTGTAACGGCATAACTTGCTTATGAGGGCTCTGTGAGAGAATTAGTAATTATGCCCGCATGACTGTTAACTTCAGGGGGCTGTACGTACGTATGTATACTGTGTGCATTGGGTGCTTGTAACTTTATATGACATAGTGTGGCTGGAAGATGAGTATAATCGTCAGACTGACACACATGCACATCTTAGAGGCTGTTGTGTTCTGTTGAGTGTTTGATTTTACATAACTCTCACGAGGGGAATTGGAGGTTATTGTAACTATTGTGTGACTCCGCAGTGGGTGTACTATTGTGACCGTCGGTAGCATTGGGGTTTTATGTGGTGTTGTATTTCAGGGTTCTGTAAACGTGTGGATATGGTTGTATTCTCAGGGTAGATGTGTGACTGTGACGATTCAACCATATGTTGTAGTGTTGTTGGTTGGGTAAGCTGTGGGTATGAGGATATATATGATCCCCATGGTGGGTGACCGCAGCCATGGCTTTTAAGTGTGGGATGCCTCTGACTTCCCAAGTGACTCCAGTTTTCTGTCCTGAAACCCCAGTGTTATCGAAACAGCCTTCAATCCTTCTGACCTTAGAGATGCTCATGACAACCTACACTTCTCCCTGGGTGACAGGTATTCCAGGGTGACCTTTTATTAAAAGGCATAGGACCTCATGATTCCTTCTTTCTTCCCCAGCTCAGCTCCTCCAGAGGTACCCAGTGGAGAAAAGAGCAATGGCTGTGGACCAAGCCAAACATAAGGTGCACTGGGCTTTCCTTTGCTTTTCTCTGGGATGGACTCGTGTAACACAGGCTCCTAAAGTGACCCGGTTCTTCAAATTTCCCATTCATGAAAATGGTGGGGAACTCTCTGATGTCATTCTGTATGATGGTCACATGTTAACTTAGGAAATAGATAACTTCTAACGTGTTTGTTTCTTTCTAAACTCACCTCTAAAACATGGTTATTTCGAAGAATTCCGGGAACAGAGCAGAGTTAAATTTCCACTGTGCAAAAATAACCTTTGTTTGATCAGTTTCCTTCTTGTGCTATTTTCAAGGGTGGGATCTTTTACAGCTTTAACCACTAAAAGTTTTGCATGGCAGTTGTGTGGTTCGGTTGTTGTTTGCTTTGTTTTTTGAGACAGGCTGGTGTCAACTCCCTGTGTCACTGAGGATGACTTTATACTTCGGATTCTCTTGCCTCCAGTCCCCCAAATGCCGGAGTAACGTGTGGGAATCGCCGTACTTACAAAAAGATGTATCTGATTTTATGTGTGTGATTTTGTGTGTGTGTGTGTGTGTGTGCGCGCGCGTGTACAAAGCACCACATATGTTCAGTGCTTGTAGAAGCCAGAAGAGAGTATTGGATCCACTGGGACTGAGTTATAGAAGGTCATGAGCCATCATATAGGATTTGGGAACCAAATCTGGGTCCTTTGCTGAAACAGAACTCACTCTTAACCACTCAGCCCCCATTTTTGAGTCCTCTGTGTGTGTGTATGTGTGTATTGTTGTTGTTGTTGGTTTATGTTTAGTTATGAGGGTCCCACTGTCACGCCCAGGCTGACTTCAGACTTTAGATTCTCTTGCTTTAACCTCCAAAGTACTGGATTCCAGGTATAAGCTACCATGCCAAATTCTGTATCACAGTTTGAGTCTTGCCTTTTTTTTTTTTTTTTTTTTTTTTTTTTTTTTAATTCCATGTTTGCTACATAAGAGGCAGGCCAATTTTTGTGAGTTTGAGGCTAGCCCCTGGTCTATTTTTGAGAACTGTACAGTGAGTCCCTTTGTTAAAAAAAAAAAAAATTGCTAGAGTCACCTTATTACAGAAGTCTGTATGTTAGGGGGATTATTCTGTCCCACCAGCCAGCTCCCAAATAATCACACAGAGACTTATTAATTAGGAAAGCTTGGCCTACTGTTGTATAATATTAATTTAAGATGTGTTACCTGTGTTTACACTGTGGAAATTTGATTAATGATGCAAAGATGTGTTGCATTCCTTTATGTTGCATTTGTTTAACTCTGTGAGATTGTGTTACTGTGCCTGCCTAGGACACTACATTGGTCTAACAAAGCTGAACAGCCAGTAGCAAGGCAGAAGAAAGAATAGGCAGGGCTGGCAGACAGAGAGAATAAATAGGAAAAGTCAGGGAGAAAAAGATGGAGGAGTAAAAGGAGGAGGGGGGACTCCAGGGGTCAGCCACCTAGCTATACAGAAAGCTACTGAGTGAGAAGGAAAGAAAAAAATACAGAGAAATAGAAAAAGGTAAAAGCCCAGAGGCAAAGGATAGATGGGATAGTCTAAGTTAAAAAAGCTGGCTAGAAAGAAGCCAAGAGAAGGCCAGGCATTTATAAGAATGAATAAGCTTCCATGTGTGTGTGGGGAGTTGGGTGGCAGGCCCCCAAAGAGTAAAGAGTAAAAACAAACAACTATGGCTGACAGCTTAGGCTTGTTTCTAACTAGCTCTTATAACTTAAATTAACCCATTTCTATTCATCTATGTGCTGCCATGACTCTTGTGGCTTTTACCTCTTCTGAATGTCCTGCTTCCTCTGTGTCCAGCTGCTGACTCCACCTTTCTCCCCCCCCCCCAGTCCTCTCTGTCCCCAGAAGTCCCACCTATCTCTTCCTACCTCGCTATTGGCCATTCAACTCTTTATTAAACCAGTCACAGTGACAATCTTCACATAGTGTAAAGGAGTATTCCGCAGCACCCTGCTTCCAGGAAAACAGTAAGGAAGACTGGCCACATCCTGCAGTACTTACAACCATGGCTGAAGTTGCCGATGCGTCTTACCTCCCTGGCATTCCATTTCTCCCATGTGAGATAGGTACAGTGGTGTGAATGCCTGCAACCCTAGCCACTCATGAGGCTGCATTTGCTTTCCTTGTGCTGACATTAGTGGCTGATAAGGATTCCTGCCAACATCTTGGTCCTGGTTGACTCTCATGCTAGCTAGCAAATCCTACATCATCCCTGGGTACCTCCCATTTTCAAACATTAATATTTTCATTCAGCAAATGACTGATTGTCTTGTCTTGGCCTTTTTCCAGGCACTGATGGGCAGGCAGGAAATAGTGTACTCAGGGAAGGGAAGGAATTGTAGAATGGATTTGTCCTGCCTGTCTGTGATTTGATGAGGTGGCAATATGAGTCACTTAGCTGGCAAGACACGTGGAGAAGCCAAAATCATGTCTATAAACTTGTGTTTTCCAGTGAGAGACTCGGAAGTGGGGTTAGTAGCTCCAAATGATGAAAGATTTCCTAGCTTATAATGCTGGTATGGACCTCTGAGACTCTTAAGGCAATTATAAAACATGTTTAAGTTGAAGTCCATCAGGAAATGTGGGTCATGCTGACATTCTATATGAACCATTAATTTTATTCACATTAGAAGTAAGAATGAGTGTGATAACGGATGGTTCTAATTAGACTGGTCAGTGTATATATGTAGTGAGATAATCCTTCTGTAGCACTGACCACGCCCATCGGGGGGTGGAGCGATGGGCGGAGTGACCTGTGGAAGGAGGTCAGAGGGGGCCAGGAAGGCGCTCTCTCTTTCTGGCGTGACTCGGACAGGAGAGGATCGGGTTGAATTTCCTGGTGTTCATCTGTCTAGGTTGTAAGTTATTTCTCCCTGAATAAACATCTATTCGGCCTATTTGTTTATCCTGATCCTTATTTACCGCAATATATATATAAGCTGTTGAGACGGTACAGTCATAAATCAAAACATTTAGCCACCAGAAAAATAATTTGTATTAATAAAAATAATAACTTATTTTTAGTTGCTGGGGATTGAAAGCAGGGCTCTACCAGTGAGCTGTCTCCCTAGTCCTGTTGTTTTGAGACTTGATCTCACTATGTAACTAAGGCTGGCCTTGAACTAATTATGTAACCTAGGCTGATAGCGCGAACTCCCAATCCGGGCTCTTGCCTCAGCCCCAGTGTAGGGATTAGAGTCATGCATTAGCATGCTTGACTTCCTGTTATCTGTTTCTGAATGAACAGATAATCCAGAGGTACTGGTTCTTGATGACATCAGTATAATGACTCATTTGCTGAACCCTACAACACAAGCACCAAAGCTAGTAAGTATTTTGTGTGTGTGTGTTATACAGCTAGGGTGTGTGTTTATTGTTTCAGAAGTCGATGGTGTTCAGTGACGTGTCTCTGGACTTCTCTCAGGAGGAGTGGGAGTGCCTGGGCCCTGCTCAGAGGGACTTGTATAGGGATGTGATGTTGGAGAACTACAGAAACCTGCTGTCAGTGGGTAAGAGCACCTGCACCAACAGCTCAGCGTTCTCCGGAGCGTCTGCTTCTTCCGCAGTGAATTTCTCAGCTGCTTTTCAACTTTGCCACCTGAATTCCTGCTCCTTGTTTGCAAATAAGTGATTTCGGCCGGGCTGAACAAGAAGCCTGGGAGCCAGGCAGCCCCAGTGCTCTGCGGCTGAAGCTTCTGTCTTCGTCTTCGGCCGGTCCTGTCATGCCTTCTCTTGCTTGATGATGAAGGGACTGGATCTGTTTCCCACAGCATAACCATGTCCCATGTCTTTTCTTGTAAGCAGGACTTCACATTCCCAAGCCTCAGGTGATCTCTTTATTGGAGCAAGGCAAAGAGCCCTGGATGATTGGCAAAGAGCTCACGAGAGGCCTGTGCTCAGGTAAGTGAGACACACTCAGCAGAGCAGTGCCTGCTGGAATAACTCGCTGCTGATCGAGGAAAAGGCACCTTTGAGATGTTATTTTGGAAGCTTCTGCCTTTAAGAGCCTAGATCTAGTGAGAAAACCAAGGTCTTTAAAAAATTTCTTTTTAGTTGCATATGTTTATTGTATGGGGTGAGTGTGTGGAGGATAAAGGGGCAACTCTCTGGAGTTGGTTCTCTCTCCATCATGTAGGTTCAGGGGATCAAACTCAGGTCATCAAGCTTGTTTTTGTTTTTACATAGGTATGAATCCATAACTGGCATATCAGTCTTTCCTCCATTCAGAGGTCTAATAAATTGAGTATGTGTGGTGTATGTATACCAGATGTGGACTGGGGCCCACGGAAGTCAGGGGAGTACATAAATCCTCTGGAACACAGTCACAGGTAGCTGTGAAATGACACGTGGGTGCTGGGAACTGAACATGGGTCCCCTACAAGAGCATCACACACACTCATCACCAGACCATCTTCCAGAACCAGTCCTGAGGTGAGGCTCTTTAAGGCCGCCTGTCATGAACTGCCTCAGTAGCAGTACAAAGATACTGCTATCATTCAGAGAGTTCCAAGGGCTTTTGAAGTTCTGTGGCAGAAAATCAGGACAATGTGTTGCATATGTTTATCATCCTAGCTATAGGCAGATTTTTCTGTCTTCCTACCAGTTCTCAAATAACCACATGGAGACTTACTAATTACAAAAGCTAGGCTGATAGCTTAGGCTTTTTTCTAACTAGCTCTTATAACTTAAATTGACCCAGTTCTATTAGTCTACTTTTACCTGGCTCAGTTACCTTTGCTTTGCGGTGCCCATGATGCTTGTTCTGTGTCCCTGGTATCTCCTCTTCCCTTCTTCTTCCTGGTGTCCGCTTTTCTCCAGAAATCCAATCTAACTATTGGCCATTCAGCTTTTTATTAAACCAATCAGAGTGACACATCTTTACAGTATACAAAAGATTATTCTACCATATCCCCCCCCCCACTTTGTTTTTTATCCAAATACACTGAGGTAAGATAATCCCAGAATTCAAAGCCAGCCAGAGTTCCATAATAAGACCTCATCTCAGGGGACATTTATTTAATGCTAGCACTTGAGGGGCAGAGGATCTCATTATCTAGACCCCAAACAAATGAAAGACCAAATTTATTATTTTTTTATGCTAAAAAATATTCAGGAATCCAGAGTATTGTCTCCAAAAATATTTACAGTATGACTTCTAACAGTAGCAAAATTATAGTTACGAAGTAGCAATGAAAATACTTTTATGGTTGGGGTCAGCACAGCATGAGGAACTGTATTAAAGGATTGCAGCTTTAGGAAGGTTGAGAACCACTGGTTGGACAGATCTCCTTAAAAGCCTATTATATTTACCTACTTGATAGTATTTAGTTTCTCCATTTCCATTATGAAAGTTTTAGGTTTTTCCAAAAAGAGGGGAAAAGAATATTTTCTACTTTCTTTCCTTTCAGCTCTGGAGTCAATGTGTGAAAGCAAGTTATTATCTCTAAAGAAGGAGGTTTATGAAATAGAATCATGCCAGAGGGAGTTAATGGGACTTAAAAAGCATGGCCTTGAGTACTCCAGTTTTAGAGATGTTCTGGAATGTGGAAACCAATTGGGATATCAAAATGGTCATTTAAGTCAAGAAATACTCAGTCGTGAATACATGCCCACATTTGTTCAACAGACTTTCTTAACCCTACGTCAAATTATTAATAATGATGAGAAACCCTATGAATGTAAAAAATGTAGAAAGGTCTTTACTCAGAACTCACAATTTATTCAACATCAAAGAATTCATATTGGTGAAAAGTCTTACGAATGTAAGGAGTGTGGGAAATTCTTTAGTTGTGGTTCACATGTTACTCGACATCTGAAAATTCATACTGGTGAAAAGCCCTTTGAATGTAAAGACTGTGGGAAAGCCTTCAGTTGTAGCTCATACCTTTCTCAGCATCAGAGAATCCACACTGGTAAGAAGCCTTATGAATGTAAGGAATGTGGGAAAGCCTTTAGCTATTGTTCAAACCTTATTGACCATCAGCGAATTCACACTGGAGAAAAACCTTATGCATGCAAAGTATGTGGGAAAGCTTTCACAAAGAGCTCACAACTTTTTCAACACGTGCGAGTTCACACAGGTGAGAAACCTTACGAATGTAAGGAATGTGGCAAAGCCTTTACTCAGAGCTCAAAGCTTGTTCAGCATCAGAGAACCCACACTGGGGAGAAGCCCTATGAGTGCAAGGAGTGTGGGAAAGCCTTTAGTAGTGGCTCAGCACTTACAAATCATCAGAGAATCCACACTGGGGAGAAACCGTACGAGTGCAAGGAGTGTGGGAAAGCCTTCACGCAGAGCTCACAGCTTCGGCAACATCAAAGGATTCATGCTGGTGAGAAACCTTTTGAATGTCTTGAATGTGGGAAGGCCTTTACTCAGAACTCACAACTTTTTCAACATCAGAGAGTCCACTCAGATGAAAAGCCATATGAGTGTAATAAATGTGGAAAGGCCTTTAATAAGTGCTCAAACCTTACTCGACACCTGAGAATTCACAGTGATGACAAGCCCTATAGCTGTAAAGAATGTGGGAAGACATTTAGTAATGATTCAGACCTTGTTCGCCATCAGGAGATTCATACTAATGAATAATAAAAATTTATCTTGAGAGTTACTTTCTTTAACATGGTTTGGCTAGGTATTTATATTTTCAATCCAAATGCATTTAACTGTAGATTATGAATTCCAAGCCTACATTTATTCTCTCATACCAATGCTAGTTACTTCATAGTTCTTATATTTTTAGGGCTTTTTTGTTTTTCTAAACTGTTTTCTGATGCTTTATGTGACTGCTTTAATTGTGTAACCTGTAATGATTTGAAGTTCCTTGTAGAATTCCTTTGTTATATTTGAGGCAGTGTCAGTCATTTCGCTATGTTTCATGGCTTATTTTTATTTTTTTGTATTCATGAGCTTATTTTATTTTTTTATTGTAAAAAAAATTAGAAAACTAGAAAATTGAAATGAACTGCTATATTGATTGTAGATGACGACTATCAAATTGATAGAACTAACTTGGCTGGATTTTGCTTTCTAAAAACAAGAGTCCTGGTATTTATGTTCTTCCTTCATCTGCTTTTATCATGCTAAAAACAGTATAATAATTGCTTTCCCAGCAATACAAAGTTTAATGACTTACTTAATATCTTTTAAATGACTATTGTTCATGTTATGATGGTGGCTTCTAAAGTTTTGCATTTTTAAAAAACTATCTCCATTATTATGACCCCAAACTTACGTTTGGATGTTTGATGTTTTGTGTCTTTTAAATTAAAAAGCATTTCTTTTAATGCTGATTTTATTAATCTTTTCTCCTTGTATGCTATTTTGTTCCTTTTTATTAACCCTAATCCTAATGTCATGTCAGAAAGGTAATTACAATTAGCAAAGTGTTATTTCTCCAGTTTTTTTTGTCTTATATATGTTATCAGTAGCTATTTCTTATTTTATATATGTTATCTGTAGTAGTTTCTTATTTTTACATATGCAGTCATGTGTATGCATTGGTTTGATGTGAGAACTCAATGAATTCATAACTATAAAGAACTTAGATCTATTCCTAGCATACAGTATACATTTAATAAAAGGTTTCTGTATTGTCATTTGCATGCAGTTTCATGATTTCCTTCATGATTTGTGGAAAGTGTGTGTGTGTGTGTGTGTGTGTGTGTGTGTGTGTGTGTGTGTGTGTGGTGCTGGGGTTAGAGGCCAGGGCTTTATATGTGCCAAGCAATCACTCTTATCACTGAGCTGTGGTCTGTCCCCTCACTGGTAAATTCTAGGCGAGTATTTTAGTGTTAACCTGCTCCTTCTAGCTTCTGGAATGTACTTTTAACTGACACCTTTATCAAAATTAGAGAAATAGTTATATGGAATAAAACCTTTCATCTGCTTTTTGAATTGCAAGTGGGAAAGGGGTATGTGTGAGTAGTCTTTATTTAGTCTCTGTCTCTGTCTCTCCCCCTCTCCCCCTCTCTCTCTCTCTGAGACAAAGTTTTACTTTGTAGCTCTGGCTGGACTGGAACTCACTATGTAGACTGGGATATCCTCAGACACAGAGATCTGCCTGCCTCTGCCTTCCTAAGTGCTGGGATTAAAATTGTGAGCCACTACACCCAACTTCAGACTTAATTTTTAATGTTCACATAATCAGTCTGAAATTCTGGAAAGTTTTGTTAGATAGTTGAAGTCACAGCTGTCAAAACAGCAGGAGGAAATGGGAATGTTTTTCTTTATTCCCCCCAAAGAGAAAATATATGAGTATTGTGTGACAATATTCCGGGTGGGGATGAGCAAGGATCTATTCCCCTCTGATAAGGTTACCAATGACATACCAAAGTGACAATATTATCAAAGTTTGGCTTGGTGAACCAGTGAGTTTTATTGGAGTTACATGCAGGAGTGAGGGTGTGGGGTTACAAGAGCAGAAACGAGTCAAAGATAGCTTCCCATGATGGGTGACAGCTCCCAAAGGTGAAAACATGGAACTCACTGTACTACTTTCAGGCAACCGAACCAGTTAGAGATTACCTCTTCCAGGATGCTCAGTGAGGTCAGTCCCTACTGCTTGTATAACCTTGGAAAAGGAAAGACCTGGTGAATGTACTCAGTTTCAGGGACCTCCTAAAGCTTTTGAGTTGTGTACTTCCTGGTTTGTAATGAGCATTCCTATTTGGTGAAATATTTTACCTTCCTATAGAACATCCTCAAGGATGGAATATTCTATCTCAAAAGACAGTGCTATACAACACAATCATGTTTGACAAGAATGGGGAGGGCATGTAGACAATAACAATAGGATTAAATATCTGAGTATTAACACAATATTACTTTGGACCTGAGTTAAGGATATAAATCCCTATTCTACATCTTATCCCAAAATAAAGGGGATTGGAGGAGATAGATGTTAGTTATATAAAGTGTTAATAGTTTGGTATGGTGGCTCATACCTGTAGTGCCTAGAGTTGCTGATGTAGGCTGGTTGAGAGCTTGATACCATGTGGGGCTGTGTACATGATTTTTAAGACATCTTATAGAACACTCAATAAAGAACAAAACATACTCGGTGTTTCTAGTATGGTAGAATAAGCATTGAAGCTGAGAATGAGACGTAGAAGTGAATATCTGAACTTATAAAGGACTTGTCTTTAGGAATGATGGAACTGTAGAATTAATAATATAGGTTGCATAACTTTGTAGGTATCCTAAAATTTAGAAAACACTTTAAAGGGTGGTCAGGATAGCATGGCATTTTTACCAAATCAAAACTTAAAACTATCTGGGTGGTGGTGGCACACCCTTTTAATCCCAACACTTGGGAAGCAAAGGCAAGTGGATCTTTGAGTTTGAGGATAGTCTGGTCTATAGAGCTAGTTCCAGGACTGGCAGGGATACATAGAGACACCCTGTCTCAAAAACAAAACAAAACTTAAAAATTAAAGGTGTGGTTGTGCACCCCTTTAATCCCGGGATTTGGTGGCAGGGTCGGGTGGAGTTCTGAGTCTGAGACCAGGCTGGTCTGTATAATGAGTTCCAGGTCAACCAGAGCTGCACAGTGAAACCCTGTCTAAGCAAAACAAAAATTTTAAAAATTAGGATTTTTTTTTGGTAAAACATGAAAATGCTGAACAAAGTATTGTATTTATAGAGAAATTGAATGGATAGCTATCTTGGTTGGCAAAAGTGTAATTCTTATGGACTCTCTTCCAACAACTCCTTTTTTTGTTGTTTTTTGATTTCAGATAGGAACTCATTATGTAGCTCTGGCTGTCCTGGAACTTTATATGTAGACCAGGCTAGTGTCAAATCCACAGAGACCCGCCTACTTCTGCCTCCCAAGTGCTGGAATTAAAAGCATGTGCCACCACCCTCCACTTTTCATTTATTGTTATCTTTATTATAAATATCATAAATAAATATTACAAGTATAAACACATTTGACACTGCATTTGATAACCTGATGTATGAATATCTGGTTTGAGGGAAATAATACAATTCTCAGTGCTCATCAGATATCTTGGTTCTACTTCTGGTGTGCTCCATTCTTGAAAATAGTGGCTCAGAAATGTAGGTGCTGCCAGAATCTATGATATTAGTAAGGCATAATTGTGAAATGAAGAACATTTGTCTCTGGGAAAATAGGACATATAAAACATAGTCTCCAGCTGGAGAATACTTAACCACAACTGAAATAGGAAATTGGAATTAGAAGCCTAGAGCAAAGAAAAACTTGCTCTTCCAGAACCTGTTTGGATTTTACCACCCATATGAGGCAGCTCACAACTGCCTATAACTTCAGCTCTATGGAATCTGACACCCTCTTTTGGCCAGTTCAGGTACCTGAGTACACATGGCGCGCACACATACACTCTCTCTGTGTGTGTGTAGCCTTGGTTGTCCTGGAACTCTGTGGATCAGGATGGCCTACCTCCACCTCCCAACTACTGGAATCAAAAGTGAAAACCACCATTGCCCAGCAAAATATGTTTTTTAATCAGTGGGCTGGGCAGAATATAGTGTCATACATTTAATCCAAGCACAAAGGAGCAGAAGCAGGTAACATTGTTGGTTAACACAGTAACTCATGTAGCTTTAGCAGGGTTTGCTTTGTTTCCAGACATGGTTTCACTATTTAGTTCTGGATAGCCTGAAACTGTATGTAGACCAGCCTTGTCTCAACTCATAGAGATCCCCGTCTTTGCCTCCCAAGTGCTGGAATTATACGTGTGTGCCATCATGTCCTGCCAGCTTTAGGAGTTTTGAGTTGGTGAATTCAATTGATCCTGCTTACTTAGACACACATACAGGAATTGGAAGGGCATGTCCAAGTGAATTGCTTGTGACCGGAGATGACTCTGCTCCTGGCTTGTTTTTACTTTCTATAGTACAGGTAGTTATTTTCCTAAAAGTTCGTTTAAGGAGCTAGAGAGGTTGCTCAGCAGTTAAAAGTGCTTGCTGTTCTTCTGGAGAACTTAGCTTTGGTTTCCAGCACCCACAAGGCAGTTAACAACTGTCTTGTAACTCCAGTTCAAGGAAACCTAGTTGCTTTCTTTTGGCCTCTTAGGGAATCAGGCACATGTGTGGTGTATATACAAACATGGGGGCAAAACATTCATGCACATAAAGACCTTATTAAAAACCCTCAAAAAACAAACCCAACAACTTTGAAGATGCAAATGGAAACCTCAGTCACACACCCTTAAATGCAAGCTCGAAACAAAAGACCCGAGATAGTAACACAGGCAGAAATGGTCACTCTCTAAGTAAAACAGCGTTGTGGCACACACTTTTAATCCCAGGAAGTAGAGACTTGCAGATCTCAGTGAGTTTGAGACCAGGCTGGTCTACAGGGCAAGTTCCAGGGGTGCACAGAGAAGTCCTGTCTCGAACACCCCCCCCCCCCCAAACAAATAAACAACAAAGTAGGACAGTCACTCCACACACCCGCAGCGACTCGTAGTCTGGCGTGACACACTCTTAGTTGTTACACAACAGCCCACCTTCAGAGGGCATAATTTCAAATTCAGTAGCTCAGTAAACTGATAAAAGCCAACTCCCGTTAGTGCGCATGCGCAATAGTGTGCGGCAATAATCATGCATAACCCACACGCGTGCGTTCAATCACTGTCACGCTCTTGCAGAGCCTTATAATCGCCTCACACAAACCAACCCACACCCAGGAACTCGCCTAGAAGGGCTTACAGTTCCCTGTGCACTGGCTCTTGAAGGTGCAAAGTAGAAAGGGTCGCGCCGCAAAGCACTCTGGGGCTGGTAGTTCTCGGGGCTGGACTCAGCTAGTTGAGAAGCCCGAGAGCGCCGCCTGGCGGGTGATGACACTGACTGGGGTTACAGAGCACATTTCCAAAGCTGTGAGGTGAGTTAGGCTGGGCGGGAGCAGGAGTTGAGGGGCGGGCTGGAGGTGGAGCTTGGCTAACAGTGTGGGGGACCCTGTGACTTTACAGGCTCCAGCTGTGCCAATGTGTTATCTTGTGTCACTGTGGGTGTGCATGTCTGTGTACGTCCTTGTGTGTGACTGACAGGAAAACTGAATGGTTGTGATGGTTTGTGACATGCTCCTGTGTGTAAATTTTCGAGAGAGCAAACTGACTTTTTTTTGGGGGGGGCAATGGTGTTGCGCACCATTTACATACATACATACATACATACATACATACATACATACATACATATATATATATAATTTTTTCTTATTTTACATGTCGATCCCAGTTCTCTCTCCCATGTCCCCCAGACCCCTCCTCCCGTCCCATCCCCCCCCCCACTTCACAGAGAGGGTGATGCCTTCCAGGAGGGATCATCAAAATCTGTCAAGTCATTTGGAGTAGGGACTAGGCCCTCCCTCCTGTCTCTAGGCTAAGGGAGAATCCCTCCACGGGGAATGTGCTCCCAAAGTCCTTTCATACACCAGGGATACATCCTGGTTCAGGGGGTCTGAGTCTGTACAATGCTGGTTTCCCAGCTATCAGTCTGAGAGTCCATGAGTTCCCCCTTGTTCAGGTCAGCTGTCTCTGTGGGTTTCCGTAGTCTGGTCTTGACCCCTTTTCTTATCACTCCTCCCTCTCTGCAACTGGATTTCAGGAGTTG